AAATTTGGTTTTGGGCTTTCAGTTTTGAAATTTCTGTGTATTTCCCGGGGAGAGGGTAGATAATTTTTGGTCCCGCTTAAGGGGCCCGGGGGCTCAGTAAGAAAAATGGGGGAAAGGGTTTTTTTAGGATTTCAAAAGGGGGGCAGGGGTCATCATAGTGTTTTCTTAAGGACCTGTGTTTTTTAAGTATGAATTTTTTTTGGCCCTTTTTGCTTGTTTTGGGGTGTGCGGGGTTGTGATGCATGTAATTTAAAAACATTTTTCTTTTCCCAAAAGGTTTTTATTTTGGGGGTTTAGTTTTGGAGGTTTTTGATCATTTAAATTTTATCAAAAAATCTTCAAGGGTTTTAAAAATTTGGTTTTTTATAAACCGGAAATTATGGGTTTTAGTTCTTTGTATGATATCTGTAAATGGTGGGAAGCTTGGATAAGTATATAGCTAGAGTATTTTGGTCATATAAAAGTAAAATCACTAAAACATAAAGGGAAATTGATGTTGTTATGTGTTGTGCTGGGAAAGGAAAAAAAAGACAATAGGGTTTTAAAATAATAATATAAAAATACAAATTTAAAATTGAAAAAGACTCTCACTTGTAATTGGGACTAAGGTCTAAATAATTTCTTTTTTGGAGTCTATGTTTTGAAACTAGAATGAGTATAGTAAAAAACTAGTTTTTAAACTAAAAATAAAAAATACAAAATTTAAAAAAAGCACCAGTCCCACTAATTATTGCAATTGGGCTAATATTTAATGTAAAATTTTTTTTTGGGCTATAGTACAATGAGTTTATCTAATAAAAATAAAAAAAGGGAAAAAGATCTCAAATTTTAATTGCACTTTAAAGGGCTTTTATAAATTGGTTTTCAAGAATTAGAGTATAAAATAGATTTTTAAATTTACAAAAAAAAAATTTTACAAGTTAAAGGGAGCAAAAAAAATAAAAAAAATAGAAAAAAAAAGATATATGAGGTAGTTGGGTTTCTATTAGCAAAAGAAGTTAAGGGGCCCTTGGGAAAAATAAAATAATTGAAAAAAAAACCCAAATTTCACACACAAATTTTAGTCCTAAGATATGAAAAACCTTAGAGTAGGAAAATTTTTAAAAATAAACTTTAATATAAAAATACAAATTTAAAGGTACTTTCAATTGCACTAGAGTCTGGGAAGGTTTTGTTGACCCAAAATCAAAAAGGTTTTTAAAATAGGGGTTTTAAAATTTACAAAAAAATTCCAAAATTTAAAATCCCAAAAAAATAAATTGTAAAAAAAAAAAAACAATTGGGAATGTCTTGGTTAAAAATGATTGAAAAAATGGAAAACAGGTCACAGGTACAAAGGATAAAATAAAGGTTTGGGGTTTGGGAAAATACCAAAAATTGATAATTTGGCCCAAAAAATGTTATGGGGAAATATAAAAAAAAATGTTTAATGTTCAAAAAATTTAAAAATTTCTGGGAGTAAAAATGGTTTTTAATAAAATTTTTTGTAAGTAATAAAGATTTCAAAAAAAGGGGAAAAAAGTAAAAGTTTATTTCATTTAATATTGCACGGTTTTTTATACTAGGGTTTTTTGGCAATTCAAGGTAAATTTAAAAGTACTCAAGATTGTAAAAGTGGTATTTTAAAAAAGGTAAAGGTAAATTTGACAAGTAATGGTTAATTTAAAAATCCAAAAAAAAAGTTAAAGTAAATTAAATTATTGTAAAAAAGTTTAAATTTTTAATTTTTTGCAAGTAATATCCTTTTATAGTATTTAAAAAAATAGAGGTAGTAATATGGACAGAGAAAGTATCAATTCAGCTAATGTTTAAGCAAACAATAGTAAATAAGAAAATTACATAAGGTGACTTATGCTTACTAGTAAAATCACAAAATGAGGTAGTTGATTATTTAGTTACTAAGAGATTGTACAATGAAATTTGAACAATAATGGAGCAAAACATACACTACACTATGTAGGCTTTTAAGTTGGACATTGTTTAGTTATTCTCTGTAAGATTAGTATCCCTGAGAAATCGTGATAGATCATTCTCGTTCGTGATTGTGTACAGTGACCTACATTTGTTTTCCTAACAAGAATTTTCCCATCCCGTGTGAAGCATTGGTGTATTGTGTCGTTATTCTCCCACTTAAGTTTTCTGACTATACAGGAGGTTCTGACGTTTTTTGCCTATGCTACCTGTTACGGGTTCAGTGTTATCACTGCCAACCCGGCTTATAGTGCAGTATTTGCAGGGGTGAGAAGGCAGAGGAGCCCTTACTCATCATGAGGCTTCTTTTGCCATTTTGCATTCAGATGCGAGGCTCCTCTCCTGAATTGTGGCCTCGATGTGTGTATGGTTAGTGGTTGGCTTCTCTCTTCCCTTCTTGAATAGTACCCAAAGTTTTCTTTTTGTGGGCAGACTTTGGTTATTTTCTTAGAGCATGATACTGTTCATGCTTAAAGGCTATCCTTACTGACAGGCCAAAAAGAAGAGGATAATAATGTTGGTTTTGGATGATTGCTAGTTAGGATATTTAATGTGCACAGATACCAAGAGTCATTCATGTGTTCACTGTAATCCTTGTTGCTCTTGTCTTGATTGGTGATTTACTTGGCTCTCATTTCACTGTGTATGCAGAGTCCCTATCTGCTCTGAACAAGGATGTGTTCTGTTGGTGCCTGGGCCATAATTGGTGTCTAGGGAAATGAGAGGGCAGATGCCAGGGGAAATATTGCTGTAGCAAGCCTACTCTATAGAATTTACCATACAATGACTTCATAGACCATATCCACAGATATGCCCTTGGAAAGTGGCAGTAAGTTATACAGGGTTGGGCAGGACGTGGGTGTTTCACCTTCAACAGGACTGTCGACTGAGGCTCAGATAAACACACCTCAGTCATAGCCACATGTTCGCAAATGCTCCTGCTTCCTTCCCTCTCCCCTTCCCCATTGTAGTTTGTGTGCCGTTGACTGCGGAACACATTTTTAACAGTTTGCCCACTGCTTAGGCTTTCCACCTACACCATAGCTTTTATAACTACTCAAGTGGCTGTAGGGATCTCGAGGAACTTTCAAGGGTCTTTCCATATAACGTAGGGGGATTTTTAACTGATGCTTGCTATTTTAACTTTGTATAGCAGTATTTATTTGTGTTCAGTATTTTATTCGTGTTCATTGGTTTTATTGTTTTTTTTTTTAGTTTTATCTTTGTTTTCATTGTGTTGTATATAATTTTTAATTGCTAAAAGTGATGTTGAGTTACCTACACAGCATTCAGTAAATATCACAACTATTACTACTATTACTGCATTGTGGGTCTAATTGTCTAGCATAATTATTCATAATGTAGTGTGAAGATGAGTAAACTGCATTAATGTGTAAGAAATAAAATACTGTGGAACCTTGGTTGTCGAACTTAATTCGTTCCAGATGTTGGTTTGACAACCAAAATGGTTGACAACCAAACCAATTTATCCCATAAAGAATAATGTAAATAGACCAAAAATTACATAATTTAATAATGTATTAACTACTACATAAAACAATGTATAAAATTATAAAGCACACAGAAACTGCAAAAACGAATACTAAATGAAAATTTAATTGAAATACATACTGTACAGTAAATGAAAATCTAACTGCCTCTTACCTGTCAGAAGAGAGCTAATGACAAATCTTGCAGGAGAAAGCTGGTAGGC